TTATTTGTTCAGAGCGTCTCTCTTTGTTGTGAGGATCAAAGTACTATCTGGAGGTACTTGTGAGGTAAAGTGTCTGAGATTGTTTCAGAGTTTGTGTGACAACAGCATTTTTAATGAAAAGCAGAATGCATTTTGAAAATTGACTTGTTAACCGTTCCTTTTAATAAGACTTACGCTGGGCTGGTTTCCCTGTTTGGAATTAAAAGGATGAGGAGTTAATATTCAGTTTCAATCCCAATCCCAGCTCTCCTGATTTACTTGCTACACATTTTTTCGTTTTTTATTTTTAAGATGCAAACCTGTTGATTTCACAGATCAGTGGTTTCTTGGTGTAATACAGATGATACTAGCTATTTTCACATTTTTGCACCTTTTAATGAACTTGAGCATCTCTTAGCATGGTGCCTGGCATGCTCTGAACTTCAGGATTGGAGCCTTGGGAAAGTCACTGGTTTAACTTTGATTTTTTTGGTGCTAGCCTTTCTAGGAGGAGAAACTGAGCTGAGGTTGCTGAGATTCAGCTTATAAATTTTGGAACCAGCAGAGAGCTGTTTTGTGTCTCTTCATAATAGCTGGCCCTGACAGTTTAACAGAGCTTATTGACCATCTGCTTTGTCTAGTTTGCCACATGGCAGAGTTACAACTAAGCCAAAATACTGACTGCACAGTGTATTAATTAAACGACTTGCTTGTGAACACTATCAAGATACTAAATTGATTGATGCTGTACATTTAGCTTGAAGAGTTTTGTCCTTTCTCTTGCTGCAGTCGCTGGGTATTGAGCTGAAGAACATGAGGTTGGTGGTGAGAAAGGAGCTGTTTGACTGTATGTTGGGGTCCCAATTTTACTCCTTGCCCTCTGTCTTCTGTTAACCCACTCTCAACAGATGGGACTCGGAGTATATTACAGTCTTGTTCCCCTGCTGCTACTTCTGACTGCTGTTCTTTGCCTTTCACAAAGCTGGCAAAAGCAACAGCTGTTTCATAATTTCTCTATTTGAAGGGAGAAATATAGCAGGGGTGCTGGGGGAAAGAATAAAAAACTAGTCATCTTGCTTGCATAAGACTAGAGAGAAATGTCTTTCTTGTCTCTTTTTTGAGAGGCAGTCTCTCTTCTGAGACCAGATTTCATGTTCTTCAGTGTTTGTGTTCCTGGAAGTTCAATGCATTTTTCTCCAAGGTGAGAGCAGAAGTTGAGAGCTTTAAGCAAATGGCATTAGTTATGTCTGCTTATCTCTAGCTGGAGAAACCTGACTGTGGGCTGCTTGTTAGTGTGACTAATTCTGCTCAAAGGCATAGCCCTCTGGGAAAGCAGTTTTTAAATCTGGACTGTGCTGGTGGCAGAGACATATAACATGCTCCCTGAAAGGGATGTGGCAAGACTTCGGCAATATCCAACAACTGTCTGCTTGATCAAGGGACATGCTGTAGGTAGCATCTCTGCATTTAGAAGCTGAATCCTGTTGAGCTTGTTATAATGAACAGATGGCTTGTTAGTAAGCTCTGCTGGGCTGCGGCAAGCCATGCTTCTTCAAGGCTTTGCTACCTATACTTTCATCGCAGAAATTTGTGTACATTCTTTTTCTTCTGGTAATTTTCTGTAACAACAGGTAACTGTTCATGCATATGTGGATGTAGGTGCATATTTGTGGTTTGTTAACATGATCCTGAAGGGTTAATGTGTATATATGTGTGCACTGTGTATATAGTATGCTGTTGGATGGTGTAACATGAAATAGTACTGCAATTCAGTGTAACATCAGTCTGAATGAAGCTACTGTTTGGCTCTATTTTTAATATAGCTAAGCTTCTGGAAATGCTTTGCATAGTATGGAAACAACTTCAAGAGAAAACTGAAAGACTGCTGTACTCATTTGGGTTCTGTCTGAAAAGCTGTGTCTAGTTGGCTGCAGACAAGGCCATTGATAGCACACCCTTGTTTTGGCCTCTGGAAACTCAGTGCTAACCAGAAGCATCGCTCTGATTTTGGTCTGGACTTCCAGGAGATGCAGAGGATCTCTGATTTATATCAAAGTGCTTTGGATTCCAGGTAGTCTTGGTTGTGTGCACTGTCTACAGAACCAGGAAACTATTTAAGAAATGAGATCTTGAGTACGCATGTGAGTTCTCTCCTTTCTGAGAATCTCTGGTATTCCAGATAATTGAAGGTGGCGCCTTCTGGCATTTAAAGGATACTTGAGAAAATTACACTCCCCTTAAAATCTTTTTTACTCCCCACCATTTTTTTCACTATTGTGTTAATTAACATACTCCAGTAGTCTATCACTTTTTTGTTAACTTGAAAATGTGAGCATTATGGCCCCTCTGCCAGGGCTCCAACACTGATAATGAAGGGCTAGGCTTAATACAGCTTTAGAAAAATAGTCCTTTCCTGGAGCTGTAGTTCAGTCTAGGAAACAGTTTAAGGAGTTGTTTTTGTTGTTGTTGTTGTTGTTTTTTGTTGTTTTTTTTTTTTTTTTTTCACGTGTATGGGAGTTGTAGTGCTAAGAAAGGGGTGGAGGGGGTGGGGAAGTGTTCATGCTTCAGCAGCCTCTTGGAGTTCTTTCCCTTCAGCCCAATTGCAATTTCATTGTTCTTGCTATTGCCACTCAAGTTCATCTCATTTAAGAACCTCATCAGTCCTGGACTTGCTCTGTTTGCCTGCATTATCTTTCTACTACAGAGATTTGTAAGGGCTAGCAGCTGTTGCATGAGCATCTGGAATGTTTATGGCTGTGCTAGAAAATATTTCCCGTTTGTGTATCTGAGGAACAGAGGGACATCTCAGCGCTTTGGCCTCATTCTGTTTTGAGCTCACTAACACTGTCATGATCATACAGCTCACCATAAGTTTTCATTATCCAATGTGAAAAGGTCTGCCACATGTTTGCTACTGGCAAGATAGTTTGTTGTGGAAGATGATAGGCTCTTTGGCATTTAAAAAGTAAAGCTGCAAGTGAATTAGAAGCTTCAGGAATGGCTTCAGTTTTTTACTTTTATACAAAGCCAAAACAACAAATATTTTGCCTTACATTATACTTTTCTTCTTCTGAATGCCTTAAATTACTTTTCAGGCTATGTTTATGGAACTACAAGGCTTTTATTTCTTAAAATATATATATAGAATCATAGAATAGATTGGGTTGGAAAAGACCTCCAAGATCATCAAGTCCAACCCCTGATCCAACTCCAATTACTATATCATGGCACTAAGGGCCACATCCAATCTCTTTTTAAAAACCTCCAGGGATGGTGAACCCACCACCTCTTTGGGAAGGCCGTTCCAATGCCTAATTACCCTCTCTGTAAAGAATTTCTTCCTAACGTCTAACCTAAACCTCCCCTGGCAGAGCTTGAGCCCATGTCCTCTTGTCCTATTGTTGGTTACCTGGGAGAAGAGCCCAACCCCCACCTGGCTATAACCTCCCTTCAGGTAGCTGAAGAGAGTGATGAGGTCACCTCTAAGCCTTCTCTTCTCCAGACTAAACAACCCCAGCTCCCTCAGCCTCTCCTCATAGGATTGTGCTCAAGTCCCTTCACCAGCCTCGTTGTTCCTCTCTGGACCCACTCCAGCACCTTAGTATCCTTCCTGAACTCTGTATCATCCACAACTTGTTTCTGTTGGAATGTGACTTGGAAAAAAAACCCACATTTTTTTTTTTTGTCTGTGACTATTTCCAACAATGCATATGATTAAAGATTGCTGACAAGTCCTGACTTTGCAAGTTTATGTCTCTGTGAAAGATGGAGGAAAATATTTTCACATATTTTTGACATCTGCTTACGAAAGATAAACCTTGAAGCTGAAGCAGAAGAAGGAGAACAAGTTTTAGGCTGACCACAGCAAAGTGAGAATTTGTTGAAAAAGCACACTATTTAGGGGTCAAGGGAGCTGAAATGGGAGTTCCTGATGCTAAAGGCTACCCTGGAAGGCAGTTAAGCTGGTTTCTGTTCTTAAAGCGGTTATTGCAGAACATCTGCAGGCTCTGCCGAGTGATACTTGCTCAGTTTTCATTTTCAAGGTGGCAACGCAATTTATAAGGTTTGCTGGCTATTAAGAGTGCAATTCTTTTGCAGTAAGCAAAGGTTAGCTTCTCTTGGGATAGGTAACTGTGATCATAGGGACATAGTGAAATAGGTAGAAGAATGTAGGGAGCTGGGAGTCAGAAGGGTTTGCTGGAAGCTTTTATTTGTGATTTGGACTTCTTTGCAATGAATTCTTCTCTTGCATTTGTGCTCTGGTGGCAAGGATGTACTCTTGATGTGTAATTAATGTCTCCCTACAACCCATTTTTTGGAGAGACAGGAAAGTGTTGATGTATATACTTGAACCTAAATGAATAGGAAGGCATTTTTGACATACTTTTGGGAGCTTTTAAATGGTGGTATCTTAAAATGCTAGCTAAAACCTAAATTCCTTTCAAATATGCTACACTTAGATATAATAGAAGAATTTTGGAAAAAATGAGTGGGCTAAAACTTATTGACAATTAGATGTTCACTAAAATGGGATGAAATGACATGACACTGAACCCACGAGCACATATATCAGGCAGAGAAATGGTGCTTTTACAAGTGTGAAGGAAGGGTGATGCTACATGGCAGAAATCTCAGTTAACAAACCAGCTGGGAAGACAGCACTTCAATGCAAGAAAGATCTGAATGCTTCCATTGAAAATCCCTGTTTTGAAAGGAATTAATACACCTATTACAATGGTAGAGAAGATAGTATGAATTTATATGTTCAGCCTTCACCTTCTAGCACTTACTTGTTTTATCTGTCTTCCAGTGATACAAACTTTTCAGATGAGACATTTATTAAATTGTGAAGTGATAACAAAATGGATCTTTCTTTGTGTATTTCTTACTGGTTTGGTCTATTTTGTATGTAGAGAAAAGTTGGGGAAAGATGCTTTTCTCTAATTTAGCAGCTGTGTCTGCATTGGCATCATGATGACTCCTCCTTGGAGACTAGGCAAGAATTTCGCAGCCATGAGAGGAAAACACAAACAGGTGTTTTGCCTGTTCGTGAGAAGTGGGCATTTTTCTGTTGTACTGGGCAGTTGCATCAGTGTTATAGTCAAAACTATCTGATTTTCAAGGGCTGTCACAATTTTTCTGAACTTCTCAAGTACCCACATTGTAAAATAAGAGTAAATAACAAGTTGTTTCTGACTCTTAACTTCCATTTCCCAACTAAACCAATGGAAGCATTTAAATGAATGATAGGGCCATGAACTAAGCAAGGCCTGCCACACTGTGTTTTTTGGCCAGCTTGGGATTCCTAGAAGCTGTTCTGTTCCAAGTCAGAGCCTATTTTGGTTTCTCACTGTTGGATGCTTTATGGCAGGAGTTCTGAGCAAGTGCTTCCTAAACAGCTGCTCATACAACAACTACTGTGTATGGACAGACCAGAGTCGGCACTGCAAGTGTGTGACCCCTGACTAGTGTTTCAGTCACCCATTCAAGCAACAGATAAATACCAAACTAAAAATAGCAAGTCCAGGGCATAGGATAAGTATTTTCAGTCACCTACATAATAGGGCTCTTTTGAAAACTTGTTAAAACACAGGATACCAAGAAATTGATTTGATAAAAGAACCCCTAAGTAGTGTGTGTATGCATTTGTTTTACTTTTACAAAATTCCATTTAGCAGCTAATTAGAGGAAAACTTACTCTTCTTGATTCTTTGCAAATTATCTCCTTAGCTTTCATATAATAATAATAATACTGAATAAATAAATTTAAAAAAAAATTAACAAACCAAACTGAGAGGCAAAAATTCTTGAACAGAAGTGGGGAAAAAGAAAGTGAAAGGCTCTGTTATTTATCTTTATTGGCCAAGGCACCTGCACGAGCCTCCAGTGCTGTTTGTCATTGCAGGCTGCATCCAGCTCTGTACGAGTTACCTTCTTGCTGATGATGGGAGAATGCAGCCAGTGAAATGTGGCAGCCAGCCGAGCCATCTAAGTAAAAAGGCATGGTGTTCTGAAAGAACACAGAAAGTCTTCCTTCCAGCCAAGAAACTTGATGGGTGTGTTGGTGACCAACAATAGGCAGTGTGTCTTCTAGGCAAGCCCAGCCTCAACTGAGTTGGCAGAGTTTGAAGTGCAATAAAACTCAGTTTAGCTCTCCTAATACATTATTCTTTCAATAGCAGCTTTGTGGCCCTGCTAGCAAGCAGGATGGAGAACTGTGGAAATAGAGGAACCGAGGTTTCTTTTTCTGCATGCACACTTCTAGAGTATTTGAATGAGGTCACCATGGCATTCTCATATGGTCTAAATAAATATGAAGGTAACTCTGACAGTAGTGGTCACATTGGTGCAGAAATATACACTGAATTTTAATGGCTGGTTAGCCCATACTGATTAAAGAGAACCCCTGACTTTCACTTGAAAATCCCATTGCCACAACTCCTGGGTGTAGGTAGGCCAGAATCTACATTGAAACAGCTTGTGGAAATTATTATGCTTCATCTATTACAAGTTACTAACACAATAAAACTCTAGCTTCAAATTGATGTATCAATGATTTTTCAACTACTTGCTCCTTTGTTGTTTGCAAAATGGTACAATTTTTCCTTCAAAGCTTTGTTGGCATAACTAAGGCAGTTTAAATGTGATGTACAGCATCTCTCTATGGTGCAGCAGATCATAGTAGCAGGAGAGTGGTCCAGGTTTTCTATTGCTCACTTCAGAAAATCCACAGTTGCATAGTCTCTAGATTCAGTTGTCCTCTGATATTGGCCTTGCCTCCCTTTCAGCTGAGTAACTTCACTTCAGGAAGTGGTTTGGCAGTACTTGTATCTGTCTCACTGTGCTTTAATTTAACCTTCTCTTTCCCCTCTTTCAGCTGAATTTTGACACATGGCTGTCTTATTTTTCCTCCACCCCTTATACAGGGTAAAATGTCATGCTAACCATGTTGTGATGTAGAAGCTAACAGCTGACTTAAATTTAGTGCCTGTAGCTGTAAGAGTTTGTCCAGGGGAAATCACAGTTTGTTGCCATCATCTTTCTGCCCTCTAGGCTTCTAACTGAAGGAAA